CCCTGTTGAGGGCTGGACTGTGAGACCCTGTTGAGGGCTGGACTGTGTGAGACCCTACTGAGGGCTAGACTGGAGACACACGCCTTTAATCTCAATACCAACCATAGAAGACCTGGAGGTCTGTATAGATGGGCAGTGATGAGGTCATGTGGTTGGGTTTACAACCAATGAGAAGGCAGAACAGAAAGTCTATAAAAGGACAGATGCACAGGAAGTAGTGCTCTTGCTGAGAGGAAGGACAGCAGCGGCAGCGAAGGGTAAGCTCAGCTCTCAGCTACTGCTCTGACCTCTTGGGCTTTTAACTCTGCAATTGGCTCTGTGTTTCTTATTTAATAAGACTGTTCATCTACAATAAATAAATAAATAAATAAATAAATAAATAAATAAATAAATAAATAAATAAATAAATAAATAAAACTGATGTTCTCTTTATGTTCTACTTGGGATGCTAGTCATGGAGCCCAGATAAAGGTACACAAGCACAGACGCCTCCTTCATCGATTTTGCCAGAAGCTGGGGCTATGAGAACAGGAACCTCAGAGGCAGCATCACACACAGGCCAGGTGTCCAGGATCAGGGAAGTCTGCATCAGGCCCAGGTGTCCGTGTGTGTCCATGTCTCTGTGTGTGTGTCCGTGTGTGTGTCCGTGTGTCCGTGTGTGTGTTGGGGGGAATCAAGCCCAGGTGATGGGACCCAGAGGGCAGTATCAGACCAGGACTGGGAGGTGAGCCTGAGTGTTGGCTCCTACAAAGACAGAAAACTTCATCTCAGGCCACAGAAGACCAGCAGCCCTGTGCCTTTAAATGTGTTTCCATGGGCCTGACCATCCAGAGTGCTAGGACAGACTGTGAGTGTTTGTTGTGCGTGCCTGATGGACAAACGTGCTTCACCTAGTGTGACAACTAGTTTTACATCACCTGGATACAAACTGGAGTCATTTTGGAAGGGGGAACCTCAACTAAGGAAATATCCCCACTAGAATGGCCTGTGGGCAAGTTTTTAGTGCATTTTGATTGATGACTGATGGGGTGGAGCTCACTGTAGGCAGTGCCAGCCCTAGGTTGGCAGTCCTGGGTTAAGACACCTAAAGTGACCCCTAGGCTCAGCAACCTCTTCTCTGGCATTCTATCCTTCAAGTCACCATCCGACTCCTCAAAATGATGACTGCTGCTGCTCTGGCCTCTCCCCCCCCCCCCCCCGCCCCGGGGCATCCTGGTTTTTGTATTAAGTGTGGCTCACCATGACTGCAGGACAGGGGGGATGCCGACAGCACCACCTGGAACTTTGACCCTTGTAACCCCAAACCTCATCTCCAATCCAGGGACTAGAATCACCTAGAAGCCAGCATTGGGAGGGTTGATGCCTTGTGGCGCCTCTGCCAGCCCACTTCATTCTGTTCCCATGTTCATATGTGTGTGTGTGTGTGTGTGTGTGTGTGTGTGTGTGTATACAGAGGAGACCAGAGGTCACCTTCTGCTGTCCTCTGCTCTTGCTGGTGACAGTTCCCAAGTATCTGCCTGCTGCTTAGTTCCCTGAGGAGCTTCTGCTAGGACCTTGCTGGACATGCTGGAACTGAAGCATCTCTCTGCAACCACTTCCTGTAAAACTCATCTCACCTACAGGAGCCTGAGCTGCTTATCAGCCACAGCCCCAACGACTTATGAATTTTACCACTGTTACTGTGTGTGTGCCTGTGAGTGTATGCTGTGTGTTCAGTACCCATGGAGGTCAGATGAGGCTGTCAGATATCAATAGCTGAAGCTATGGGTGCTTGTGAGCTTGGTGACATGGGTGGTGGGGGCTGAACTCGTCTTCCGGAAGAGCAGAAAGGGCTCCTAACAACTGAGCATCTCTCTAGCCCCTGCTGCATCTCTCTAGCCCCTGCTGCTACGTTTCTAAAAGCCTCGATATAACGGATGTTGGGAAAGCCATTGGTTTGCATCTTCCTGCATTAGCTACTTTCTCATCACTATGAAGATGCCCAGAGGGGTTTGGCTCAACTTCAGGTATCAGTCCAAGTCATGGCAGGAGGCTGAGGCTCTGTTCTCATCAGAACAGCCAGGATACAGGGCAGGCAAGCACACACAGGAAGAGGCCAGTGTGCTGGCTAGTTTTATGTTAACCTGACATAGGCCAGAGTCATCTGAGAGGAGGGAACCTCAATTGAGAAAATGCCTCCAGAAGACTGGGTGGCAGACAAGCCTGTAGAACATTTTCTTAGTGACTAATGTGATAGGACCCAGACCATGGTGGGTGGTGCTACCCCTGGGCTAGTGGTCCTGGGTTTTCTATGTAAGCAGGCTGAGTAAGCCATGTGGAACAAGCCACTTAACAGCACCCCTCCACGGCCTCCACATCAGTTCCTGCCTCCAGGTTCCTGCCCTGCTTGAATTCCTACCCTCACTGCTTTTGATGATCAACTGTTGTATCGAACTCTGAGCAAAATAAATCCTTTCCTTACTAAGCTGATTTTGATCATGGTGTTTCATCACAGCAATAGTAATCCTAAGACGGTCAGGGTGAGATCCAGTCCAAAGGACCAATTTCTTCTCAACAGCCCAAACCATTGGTGAAGCCAAGTACCATGTGGGTGGGTACCATGGAGGGGCCCAGAATCATGCAACAACACTTACAGCGTCTTTGCCACCTCATACCTGACGAGAGTTCTTTCTGTCCATTTTTTATTATGTACTATACAATCACAGCAACAAAGGATGCAATGACTTTGTCACCAGCCACCTGGGGAACAAGACTTGACGGCATCCTGAGACAGGGTACGCCCTGCAGCATCCACCAGGGCTGAGACCAGCACTGGCTTTAGTGCTGATGCCACTTTACACTAATACACAAGTGGCTCAGATTGTGTGTCATCACATCTGGATTATTCTGGCCCCAAGTCCATACCATTTGGGTGACCTGAGTGATCATTTGACTGGAGTCAGGCTTGGCTGATTTTTGGGTAAGGGTCATCTCCCCACTTCCCAGCTCTGATGGACAGCTCACATAACACAGGATTTCCTGAGTTGCTCATGCCCTGCTGGTCTGCAGCAAGAGTAAAGCTCCATGCTGCTAACCTGCAGCCGCAGTCCCACGGGGAGCATCAATGCTAAAAGGGACACAAAGGGCAGGCGAGGACCCAAATGCAGGCAGAACAAGGAAAAGGATGGGATGGCCAGTGACTGTGCTGGGGGGGGGGGGCAGGCCAGCAGGTGCAGGGCCAGAGGCCAGCACAGCTCGAGGCCTGCTTCCCATGTCCACTCCTCACAGCACCTGTGACAACCTGGAAGGGGTTACTGAACTAGCACAGTGTGCGCGCTCGCTCTCGCTCTCTCTCACCCCCACCTTCGTTTTTCCAAGATAGGGTTTCTCTATAGCTTTGGAGCCTGTCCTGGAACTCGCTCTGTAGACCAGGCTGGCCTTGAACTCATAGAAATCCACCTGTCTCTGCCTCCTGAGTGCTGGGATTAAAGGTGTGCACCACCACTGCCTGGCTCTAGCACAGTTTTTTTTTGTTTTTTTTTTTTTCCCAGAGCTGAGGACCAAACCCAGGGCCTTGCACGTGCTAGGCAAGTGCTCTACCGCTGAGCTAAATCCCCACCCCACCCCCCTTTTTAAAGATTTATTTATTTATTATGTGTACAATGTTCTGCCTGCATGTATGCCTGCAGGCCAGAAGAGGGCACCAGATCTCATTATAGATGGTCGTGAACCACCATGTGGTTGCTGGGAATTGAACTCAGGACCTCTGGAAGAGCAGACAGTGCTCTTAACCCCTGAGCCATCTCTCCAGCCCCTCTAGCACAGTTTTCTAAGGCTGGGTCCCTGCAAGGAGACGTGTGTCATAGATTTTTTTTTTAGTACGTGAATAAGGCTGGGTTGTAATGGCTTATGCCTTTAATCCCAACACTCTAGAGGAAGAGACAGGCAGATCTCTGTGAGTTCAAGGCCATCCTGGGCTACAGAGCGAGATCCAGGACAGCCAGAGCTACACAGAGAAACCCTGTCTTAAAAAAACAAATAAATAAACGAACAAACAAAAAATATGGGAACAAGGCTTGCCCTTCTGGGGCAAAGGACAATGTTAATGGACACTGTGGAAGACCCATTGGTAAAAATAAGAAACTTCTCAGGCATGCACATTTGAATGAATCAAACTCTCTATGTAAATGCTTATTTTGACTTCTGCGTAGGGTCCACAGCACAAGTGCTCCCCCCCTCCTCCCCATCCTCACCTAGGGACAGTGCTGTGCAGCCTGGGTAGACATGATCACACACGTGCACACTGTGGTGTTTCTGTGCCCCCTCTCCTGTTCTGCTGGACTGGGGGTCTGCAATGATCACAAGGACAGCCTTCTGGCTCTGCTGCCTGCCCTCGATCCCTGCCCTGGCCTCTTCTCTGCGGGCCTCTGTTACTTTCTCTCCTATCCTAAATCAGGTCTCCATTCTCTACCCCTTGCCCCTGCTGCTCAGTCCCTAACCCTTCTGCACCCAGAGAGCATCACAAGGACTTCACAACCGGAACTGGAATGGGTCAGAATGAGTAAGAGCTCGCAGAATTCTGAGAGTTGTGACGTGTTGCTTGCTACACATCCCCACCCATCAGGAAAGTTTGGCTCTTCCCAGGAAGACGGCATAGGCCTCACAGAGCAGCAGGCTACCATCAATGGCAAACTGTCACATGCCAGGGACATCCCACAACAGAGAGGGCATGGCTCTTCTGCTGAGGGCTGCTCACCAGGTCACGTATCCCTCTGCTGCCCCAGTGCCACCCTCAAGGTGTTGGCACCTAGATGTAGGCCCTGGAGGCGGGAGGCAGCCTGCCGGGCAGCAGCTGAGTCTGCATAGTGTAGAATGGCCCTATGCTGTGGCCCCTGCCAGGTGAGCCTCAGGGGCACTGCCCCCAGCTCCTGGAGTGCTCTCTTCAGCTCACGTACACGAGCACTGGAGGGCAGGTTTTCCACACGCACAGTGGCAGCCAGTTGGGTGTCCACCCCCTGCAGGGGGCTATGGGACCTTCCTAGGGCACCTGCTCGTGACTGTGGTATATCCTGGGGTCTCCTGATAGTGCCTGGAGCTGGGCACTGGCTGTCAGGCTCAGCTTGAAGAGCGACATCCTTCCCGGCCCGCTTCTCTCGCTCACGGAGGCTCCTGAGTACTGGGATTTTCGTAAGCATCTCACAACTGACCTGAAAAAGACAGTGACCTCAGTTGGTCTTGGGGTGTCCAGGGAGTAGTCACACCAAGGCCACACCCACACACTCAGGAGGAATTCTGGCAATGTAGGACACCATGTGGATGAAAGGATGCTGGTGGGCCAGGGCAGTCTTTGGGGAGGTAAGAGTCCACTGCATGTTTCATTTATTTATTTCTGTGATGCTGGGGGTGAAGCACAGGGCCTCTCATAGGCTAGACAAGCATTCTACCTCTGTGCCACAGCCCAGCCATTTCTCTTTATTTTGAGACAAGCCTTCATCATATTATCTAGGCTTGTCTGGATGTCAAGCTTGCCATCCTCCTGCCTCAGCATCCAGAGTGCCTGGATGACAAGTCTGCAATACCAGCCCAGGCCTAGATTCCATTCCTTAACAGAAAGTCACCAGCCTGTAGCTCTGACCCCACAGCAGCCTAAATGAAATCCTGACATCCTGAAGCTGCCCAGGTTGTCCCTCCATGTGCCACAGTGAGGATGGACTGGCCTCTATCTTCCTGGAGGAAAATGCTGGGGTTCCTCTGTGGGCCATTCACTCAGAAGAGACTCCTGCAGTCAATGGTATTAACACGGGCCACAGAGGGCAATCCCTGCCTACCTCCAGGAGAGTGAGGCCTCCTATGGTACCTGAAGCTGGGATGGTGTCCTTTACATGCCCAGGAGCATCTCTTGGGTCAAACTGAGGCCTTGGCATACACACAGTCAGGCAGGTACGACACTGAGTATGACTCATGCAGCACTCTCTGGCAGTGGGCCACCAAGTTGCTAAATGAACAGCTTGTTGAGTTCAGTGTCAGCCTGGGGCTTTTGCACAGGCCACCTGTGGTCCTGCCGAGTTGGTATAGTTGGTCACCAACATCCCAACCACCTGCAGAGGCAATGGAAAGCAGATCAGCATGTGGGCACAGTGTGCCTTGCAGGATGAGCCGGGGGCCTGATCCGTCCGTGTGCACAGACGCTGCTGGGAGCATGTGGACCTTCGGCAGCCAGTTTGCCAGTGGGCTGCCTGGCCTGAGCTGGCAGATGAGCCTGACAGCAGAGCTGCAGTGGGTCAGGAAGCAGACTTGTTCGGTCCTTTCTGACACGTCTCATCCATCAGAGACAATCTCTTCTTTAACTTTGGGGGCACAATTGGTAAACAAGCAGTTACTGAACTGAGGGAACAGCTGCGGCTCCATGGCAGGATTTCTTTTCTTTTCTTTTTTTTTTTTTTGTCTTTTTTTGTTTGTTTGCTTGTTTTGTTTGTTTTTGTAATTGTTGCTGCTGTTTTTGTTTGGGGGGCGGTGATTCTCACTATATAGCTCTGGCTATCCAGGAACTCACTCTGTAGCCCAGGCTGGCCTCGAACTCACAGAGATCCACGTGCTTCTGTCTCCCGAATGCTGGGATTTAAGGCTTGCACCACCACGCGCAGCTCAAGGCAGGTCTTTACAGTGCACACACCACATCAGCACTCAGGTCTGGGGTTGCTTTCCTATGAAGCCGAGCAGCACAGGAGCCGTGATGATGGCAAATCCTGATGCACAGGCTACCATGGAGCCAGGCGTCACTCCTTTCTGGAACAGCCTGTTCTGAGTAGGGAGTGATGACACCCAGCATGGGGTGGGTCACGTCTCCACAAGTCCCAAGCACACTGGCACTGCCATTGTCTAGCTGCATACATTTGGGCTAGCAGAACGGGGTTGGCGCCACTGCCCAGGCTGACAGGGCATTCTGTTTTTCCTAGCTGGCAATTAGAAGCGGTCATTATGCTTTGTCAATGTGCCGCATGAAATGGAAAATTCTACTTGTTAATTAAACAGAAAACAACATTTTTATGTTCTAAAACTAACCATTCCAGCCTCCAAAAATTATAACTCAGATTTGATTTTCATGTCAATCACCTAGAAGTCTGCAATCCCTTGTGGGGGCTGGCAGTGCAGGCTTGTACTCTTTGCTACTTGAGAGGCCTAGGCAGTGAACCCTATCTCCAAAATAATAATCACCAAAGGACTGGGAGGTAGCTCAGGAGCAGGGTGCTTACCCAGCAGCACAAGGCTGTAAGTCCAACCCCACAGAACTGCAAAACCAAGAAAAAAAAAAAATCTCCAGGGCATGGTGGCACACACCCTGAGGAATGATATCCAAGGCTGACCTCTGGCCTCCACACATGCACACATGAACACAAATGCACACACATACATACACATATACACATAAACACACACACACACACACACACACACACACACACACACACACACACACACACACACACACTGAAAAACACTACCACGAGAGCCACAGTAGGCCATGCCAGCCACAGTAATGACCCACCTTGGACCAGATGATCCCTGTTGGCTTTGGGCGTGCACAGCCTGTAGCAATGACCCTGGTGGGAGTGATGATGTAGTCGACGGTGAGATCGTGGTCCTCCAGAAGAGCCTCAGGGATGTCAACGACCTGCACAGGGTAAGGAGGTGACCAGTCAGGTTACAGCAGGGCCCTGAAGGAACTAAGCATCTGGAGAGAGGATCTTCAGCGCCTCATCAATCAATACTTCTCACAGCATGATGCAAGAATAGGTATTGTGGAATATTACTTTAACTATGTAAATATGTGTTACATTTGTATATGTCGTGGCATAACACTTTAACTAGGCAAAGATGTGCTACATTTGTTTAACAATGTAAAGATGTGTTGCTGTTTCACCTTGCCTGCCTAAGGGGCCTGATTAGTCTAATAAAAAGGTGGATGGCCAACAGCTAGGTAGAGGGACAGGTGGGGCAGAGAGAACAAGTATGGGGGAGGGATCCAGACTCAAGAGGGGAGAGAAGAGAGAACAATGGAGAAAGAGAGGGAGATGCCTGGGGCCAGCCAGCCAGCCAGACACGGAAGAAGCAGGAAACGCAGGACATAGAGAATGAAAGAAAGGCTAAAATAAGTTATAAGAGCTAGTGGGACAAGCGTAAGCTAAGGCTGAGCACTCATGATTCAGGGGCTGGCAGTCTGAGAAAGCCTACTACAAATAGGCGTCTACCCCCCTCCTCCCCTGGAGCGGCTGAGAGGGGTGCCAGTGACATCTGCAGGACATACCTGGCAGTCATGGACAATGGTGACGACCGGGGTCCCTTCGTGGACAGCTCCCATCGACACCATCATGGCATATTCAAGATCGGCATAGCCTTCTCCCTTCCCAATTCGCCAGCCTACAGACAAGGTGGGGCACAGCAGAAGTGGGTTCCTGTCAGGCCTCTGCGGAAAGGACGGGATCTAGTGTTCCTGTTGTCCGCAGCAACCCACAAGCAGCCCTGGAACATGAACCCACGGGCACCAAACAATCAAAGTGCACAGTGAGTAGGGGAGTCTCCGAGGCCACAGCGGGGGTCAAGCTGGCACTTGTGTGCCCGTCTTGTCAGCAAGACCCAGTGAAGCGGCAGGTGCTGCGGCACAGCTGCAATCAGCACTGGGAGGCTAAGGTGGAAGGACGGAGAGCTAAAGTCAAGTTCTGAGACCAAAAACCAAGCCACGAAAGGTCAGCGAGTGAAGACACAGAAGAGAGGTCCACTCCAAAGGGCAGGGTGGGACTGCCTGCCTTAGGAAGAGAAGCCAGATGCAAAGAGGAGGCCAGCTCAGTGGGGCTGCGTGGTCACAGGCCTATGCAGGCAGAAGGACAAAGGACCACAGCAGTCAGCAAGCAGTAACAGTCTCTGGCTCCCAGTGCCCCTGGGTTCTCCTCGCCTGGAGTCTGGGTACCATCACAGCATCACCCCAGGAGGAAGCACACCACCAAGATGCCTCTCTAAGATAGGCCTGCCAGCGCTCCTCTGACGGAAATGCGCATGCGAAGGAACAAGACAAAGACAATGGGACAGAAGGGCAGCAGGAGGTATGTGCAACCTACACAGCGGGGGGGCGGGGGGGGGGGGGGGGGGGAGCTGAGAGGAGTCAAAAGGCGGGCAGGAGGCCCTACTGTCCGTGTCAACTGTCAACTTGAGGATTATCCAGACTGCATTAGCTGAGGTGCAAGACTCACTCATGAGATTCTGGACCGACTAGAACAGGACTACACAGTGACCTGTGCAGGAGCTGGGATCAGGCATGCAGAGCCGAATGACTGTCAAGGGAGAGTGCACAGGGCAGGTTTCAGGAACACCGACCGACCGACCGACCGGAACAGCCTGTCTCTAGCTTACCTTTCTCGGACACAGCAACAGATCCCACCACAATTAAATCCACGAGGACACTGGAATCCAAGCTCACAGGGACACTGAAGTTCCGCACACCCTATAAAGGGAATGGGAGGCTGAGCTCATGGTCTCAGAGCAGTCAGAGTGGATGTGACTCCCACACTACCCTACAGGGGGCAGTATCCTAGAACAGCCAGTTCCAGGAACAATTTGAGGGTGTGTCTTCTACAACTCCTATCCCAGGAAGATGGCCAGAACACTAATGCCAAAAGAGTACCACAGGTAGAATCAGGTGGGAGCCACACACAACCAGGCCAGACCCTGCTGCATCACAGGGGCTTCATGGCACAGGCACACCAGGATGAAGGTTAGAATCAAGGATGCAGGAGGTTATGCACTTAAGCTAGACACGGTCAGTACCCCTGTGTGGCCACAGCTTCATGCACGGCACTCTTGCTCCTACATATGTTCCCCAAGTACCCCCACCACCCTGATGACCAGAGGCCTGCATACAAAGTGTGAAGGGACTGCCCCTGTGTAGGTCAGAGAGATGGCAACTCTCTTCTGGGATCAGTGCACAGCCAGGGTGGGTCTCCCTGGAGCACATCACAGTGCATGCCCGACGCATCCACCCTGTTGAAGCCTTGTGCCTCTCAGTGGCCACGAAAATAGGTTTTTCTCCTCAGACCTCTGACCTGGCCAGTGTGAGTGGGGACTAGACTTTTTAACTTACCCTCCCTCAACAGAAGATGATGGCCGGCTCCAGCGTGTGCTGCCGGCCAAGCCAGTGAGCCTGCAAGGAGGTGGCAGTCCCAGGAGGAAGTGAGATGAAACACACCCACCCCCCTCTGAGTACTGCATAAGATGAGTACAGTATACATATTGTTAAGTGACCTGCCTCCCCCCCTTCAAATCCAACATGCCCAAAGGCCTCAGGACCGACCTCCTTCTGCTCTGCAGACCCAGCGAGGTTCTGCTTGCAGTTCATCCCATTTCCAGGATCCCTGGCTTACCCCAAGGCCTTGTCCTATCAGTTTTCCAGCCTTTTTTTTTTTTTTTTTTTTTTTTTAAGAACTCAAAATAAAAGACTTCAAATGTAAAAAGAAAAAGGAAATAGGTCTCTCACTGCCTGAGTTGGGGCTGAGGACTGACCACTGCCCTGTCTCTGAGAATCCTGAGCTGTGGGCTTGGGATTGACCAGAACTATGGTTTTATCTTACTTTTCATCTTTTTTCTTTTTCTATTTCCTTCAGTGCTTGGATGGAATCTGGGGCCTCACACATGCTGGGGAAGGGCTCTAGTGAGCTGAATTCCACCTCATCCCAATATATTTTAATCTGTATTTTGAAATGCAGTCCTGCTATATGCAAGGCAGGTATGAATCAGCAGCCCACCTACCCCAGCTTCCCAAGAGGCTGATTCCAAATGTGCACCACCAAATCCAGCCCTCCCTAACTTGATCCTCTACACACACATATTTTACCTTTATAGCATAACTGTATTTTTGTAAGCCATAGCCAATTCTATTTTTTTCAATAAGAAAAGTTATCAAAAAATAAAAAGTCATTCAACTTCAAGGTAAAATCCCTTTACAGGGGATAAGTAAAATGACATGTGATTTATGGTTCTTAAAAAACAAAACAAACAAAAGAAAAACTATCAAATGTTATTTATCGTAAAATGCAAAACCTCGTCCTCTAACATATCAATGAATTTACAGACGCCAGTTTAGCTGGACTGTGAAGTGTCTGATGACCTGCAATCATGCTCCTGTCAACAGTTACCACTGACAGGCACTTTCCAGCCTGCCCGGCAAAGAGGGCCCATCCTGCCCTCCACTGCATCATCTAAACAGGTGGGAGCAAGCACAAGTGCACAGCACCAAATCTACCACAAGAGGGCACCAGAGTGCCTGATGCTGGGTCTCACCAGCTCTTGAACAAGCACTTCTAACTAGCCGAACCAACTATTCAAATATCTACTGCATGGGCAGAACTGCTGAATACTTTAACACTGCTCTCGTGGCTTTGTGTAAACTCCACAGTGTTCTATTTTACAGTAAGCTGACTCATGAGGACGGTCCCCCAGGGAGGGGGCTTCTAGCACTCACCTGGGAGGTGGCACATTTCCTCAGTATGTCTTTAGTGGCTCCAGGAGGTGGTGTGATTTTATTAAACAGCCCTGTCCTCAGCCGTGGTGTTGGGACCAGCAGGGTCTTTTTGCTCTTTGAGGGAAAAGACAATCAGTTACACAGCAAATGCATGTTTTCCCCAGGAAGAAGGGGAATCTCAACTAAGGAACCTGAGCACACCTGGGCCACTGGGGGACTGCTGGTGACAGTACAGTGTCCATCCCCAGTGTCCCCTTCCATCAGCAATGGCTCCCGATGCTCCTGCTGTCCTCACTGCTGTTGTGGGGTGTCACTCAAGTTCAAACACCATCTCACTGCCTGGGAAGTGAGGCTGACACTTCTGTGCCTCCAGGAAGCCTCCTTGAATCTCACGGGCCAGATCCTGCTCAGCTTAGAGCACCAGAGTAGGAGTTCCACACCACTGTTCCTCTCAACACAAAGGCCTCATGACCTTCCTTAGCGCACAGTGTGGAAGGCGTCCTATAGCTGAGGCTTCTGCCACGTAATGTGACAGCAATGGGGGACTAGCAAGTCACTCCACGGCATCTGGCAGTCCCAGGCTGGTTCCCAAAGCCCCTGTGCCTGACATTCAGTGCCAAAAGCAGCAGCAGACTTGGTTCAGCAAAGCTATGCCAGTCATCACATTACATTAACTGTGTCGTTCAGAGAAACCTTTGTGGCTCTGCCTGTATTCACTTTATCTGCTTTCGTTATCATAATTGATTAAGAGCTATCAGCATTAAAATGCACACCAAGGGGCTGGAGAGATGGCTCAGAGGTTAAGAGCACTGACCGCTCCTTCAGAGGTCCTGAGTTCAATTCCCAGCAACCACATGGTGGCTCACAACCATCTGTAATGAGATCTGGTGCCCTCTTCTGGCCTGCAGACATACATGCAGGCAGAACACTGTATATATAATAAATAAATAAATCTTTAAAAAAAATTTAAAAAAAATGTTTAAAAAAAAAAAAAAGAAAGAAAAAAATGCACATCAAGCTCTCTTCTCATACTAAATGAGATGACATAAAGTAGTTTGAATCAATGCTGGGGGTGCTCTCTTTTCTTCGAGAAGTGGTCTATACATTTGTTTGTTTGTTTGGGTTTTCAAGACAGGGTTTCTCTGTGTTGCGTTGTTTGTCCTGGAACTCACTTTGTAGACCAGGCTGCCTCCCAAGTGCTGGGATTAAAGGTGTGTGCCACTACCACCTAACTACTACCAAAGCAGTATTATATTTATAACTGAGTTTTTTGTTTCAAGGAATTAGAACATTACAAATTAAAATTGCAGTCACAGCATTTTACCTAGATACACTGCACGCACTCAGCAGTCACCTGGAGTGAGCCCTCATGACTGAGGGCAGCTTGGGAACCTGGAGTTACCTGCAGTGCCAGCAACCGGACGCCTTCCAGGGGCTTATCAGGGTCCACTTTCACTTCCTGTGTCCCAGCAAAGACTTCCAGATCTTTGATGCTTTGGCAAGCCAGGTAAGAACCCTAGTTAGGTGAAGACAGTGCTGTACTCACCTCCAGCACGAGGAAGCGGGCATTTCTCTGAGGAGCATCAGGATTGACTTTAATGGTTCTCGCCACACTGAAAGCATGCAGGTGTGGGAAATGTTCTGCAGCATGAGAAGCACCCTGTGTGAACGTGACTACATGTCACCGTGAGGACACGGGCCAGCTACAGCTTAGGGATCACAGCCCAGCATCTACCCAGATACAGAAGCCTACATTCCCTCAAGGAGACACTTCAGAAAGAGCACAGGATGGAAAGGGACTAACCCAGAACTCAGCTTTTTGTTTGTTTTTTATTTTTTAAAGATTTGTTTATTTTATGTGTATGTGTGCTTTATCGACTTTATGCCAGAAGAGGGCATCAGATCCCACTATGAATGATTGTGAGCCACCATGTGGTTGATAGGAACTGAATTCAGGACCTCTAGAAGAGCAGCCAGTGCTCTTAACCACTGAGCCATCTCTCTAGCCCCAGGACTCAGTTTTTAAGGGAAGAAAACTCTAAAAAGCACAGATCCCAAGAACAGAGTCTGAGGGATTGCCACAGAATGGAGCTCATGTAAGCACCACCCAGTCAAGGAGTAGGATGCCCAGGGACCTCCTCCGCCAGCTTCATTCACTCCAGAGACCATGAGCTCATCCTGAGCTTCCTGTGCCCTCTTCTCTGCACTCCATGTCCATCTGTCTCCCACAAAGCATAGAAACAACTAACACCACAGGGAGGGATGGTCTCCAGGGGCCCTGCAGTCTGAAGCCAGTTCATCCAGAACCAGAGCTAGGCCAGCATAGGGAGAAGGTCCAGGCAACATGGGGTGCTAGTGGGTACCAGGTCCTAGGTCTATCTTCACAAAGCACTTCAGTTCTCTTCAAAAAGATAAAGCAAAGACCACAAGCCATTTATGCTGCTCCCCCCCTTCCCCCCCCCTCCTGCCCAGCTCCAATCTGTCTGTCTGACTCTCTGAGACAGGGTCTCATGTAGCCCAGTCAGACTTCCAACTCACAATGTAGCTGTGAATGACCTTAAACTCCTGATCCTCCTCCTCTGTCTTCCCAGTGCTGGGATAGCCAGCCTGAGCCAGCACCTGGCTTACATTGCCTCTTTCAGGGAAATTATTTTCCATGCATACTATCAGCAATAGTCATCTTAGGTTGACTTATATTTTGAACAGTTAAGAAACTGAGGCCCGGTTTGGGGATTTTAGCTCAGTGATAGAGCGCTTGCCTAGCAAGCACAAGGCCCTGGGTTTGGTCCTCAGCTGGGGGGGGAGGGGGGAGAAACTGAGGCCCAGGGCTTCAGGTCATATGATGTTTCTCTGGGCCATAAAGGCTGGGCTTCCTTCTGGGGGTTCCATAAGCCCCTCCTTAAGTGGCTGAGGGAGGCCAGCTCTGTGAAAAGCACTGGTAGCACCTACAATCTAACCCCTCCACTTCCACAGAGAGGCTGTGGCCCACTGGGTGATGGAGGGAATGTGTCAAAACACAAAGAGCCCTCCAAGCCCTCTTCTGCCTCTGCTCACTGTGCCTCTAAAATCAATCCTAGCAGAAAGCCGAGGGGCTGTGTCACTGACTTTACTCTCCCAGGGAAAGCCTGACCCCCTTCTAACAACACCAGGAACACTTCTGTACCTTAAAGTTGGGAATCCTGTGATGAACAGGTCTGGGAAAGTCAGCTAAATCATGTGATTCCATATAGTCCCAAATTTGTTCACGGATGCCTTGCTTGGAGACACCTATGACAAAAAAGGTCTGTGACTTACTGATAAAAAGCAATCCCACAGTGCACGCGGCCACTTGTATACCTGTCCTTGTGACAACACCCGCGCAGGCATTTGTGTCCACACCAGACCAGCTTACGGAGCCAAGTCTCTCTTCAGGACAATGGAAATATTAGGTTTCCCTCAAGCTCCCTCACCAGTTGAGAGAAGAGCTCCTACTCAGCCTCCATTTCTGCCAGGAAACGGGAGCATGCTGTAAAGCACAGCTGTGAAGTCATTTGTATTTTCTCTGCAGTACTAGGGGCTCCAGCATAAAGCACCCTACTGATGAGCTAGACCTTTTTGAAGAAGGGTGTCACTCAGTTGCACAGATGGGCCTTGAGCCTGAAATGCTCTTGCTTCAGCCTCCCAAGTAGCAAGAGGTACGAGTGTGTACCACCAGGTTTGGCTAGAATGTAGCCTTTTTCATTATTTAGTGGTCCAGTGGGTCAAATTCAGGGCTTTAAGTGCATTAAGCCAGCCACTAGCCACACCCCCAACCAATCCTTTTAAATTGTTAAATCTCACAAGACTGGTGTGTAGAAAGCATATTTGTCTTTTTTTTTTTTTTTTTTTTTTTTTTTTGAGACAGGGTTTCTCTGTGTAGCTTTGGTTCCTGTCCTGGATCTCACTCTGTAGACCAGGCTGGCCTTGAACTCACAGAGATCCACCTGGCTCTGCCTCCCGAGTGCTGGGATTAAAGGCGTGCACCACCACCGCCCGTTCTTTCTATTTAAAAAGATTTATTATCTATGCGTGTCGGCTTACGTGTTTATGTGCATAATCGGCAACTGCAGGGGGTGGGGGCACGCAGGTGCCAACGGAGGCCAGGGGCCAGAGGTCACGGGGTCCCCTCATTGTGAGCTATCTCATATGCTTGCTGGGACTGAACTCCAGTCCTCTGTAAGAGCAGCAAGCGCTCATAACCACAGAGCTCTCTCTCCAGCCCCAACTATTGTCCTTTGTAAACTCCGTGGCGTCACAGCGTTTGCGAGGGCAGATTCCACATTGGCAAGCGGATGCATTCCAAACTTTCGCTGCTCGGTGCATATGCTTCCTCGTTTAAAATGTTTTGTAGCGCGGGGCAGTAGATACGCTGCGCGGGTACCCGACGCTGAATGATCCCACCTGCCATCCTCACCCCCGCTCTGGCTAGTTTAAACCTGTCTAACCCCACAGGGTGAGCGTCGGACTGGTTCTCCCTCGCGGCTGTCAGCCTGGGCATCACAGCCCTAACAGGCCGAGTCGCCACGTCCGGACCACGGGGACTCTTGTGCCGTCCCAGCCTCGGTTTCCCCCACGGCCCTCTGCGTTCCTCACCCGTCAGTGCCTCCATGGCCAACAAACGTCACAGCGCGACGCCTCTCGCCGCTCAAGCTGGCGCTTTCAGTGACGTCAATCGCCTGCGCTTCGAACCGCGCCTGCGCAGACGGGCTGGGGGGGACCGGACGGACGGACGCATGCGCAGTCGACGCAGCGGGCGGGGTTCCCGTTCTCAGGTCGCGTTCTTCTCTAACTTTCCACTTGCCAAACTCTGCAGATGCGCTCCACGCCTCAGTGGATTCGAGGTCGCCACTAAACAAGGATGCCCGGGACTTCCCGAGGACACATAAGCACACAGCACGCATGCATTCGTATTGTGTGGAACATATATAACACATACAGGGCTGGCAAAATGGCTCAGCTGGTAAAGGCGCTTGCTGCCAAGCCGAACATCTCAAGTTCCATCCCCTGGGCCCACTGTAAGAGACTGGTATTGACCCAGGACCCCCAAGACCAAGTTCGCAGCACAAAGGAGATTTATTTGCCCCAGGGGGATGGAGGCAGGGAATAAGAGACAAGCACAGGAGATTGAGGACGAGAGAGAAGGACTTGGAAGGGACCAAAGGAGAAGGGGCAGTATTTGCGGAGGGGCGGGGCATACAAAGGACTGAGAAAGCAGTAGCATATAGGAAAATGGTGGTTTTGTAAAGGCACAAGGGGGAACCGTGTTAGGAGGGGGTGTTTAATTTTAATTGGACATGTTAATTAGGTGAGCCAAAGGGGGCTTTTGATTGCTGGACTTCAATACTTTGATAGCTGGACCCTGGTAGTCAGCCTCAGGAGGAGGAAGTGGCCAAATAAGGGAACAGACCTTGGTGGCTAGCTTTAGGGATGCAATCTAGCGGTTTTTAGAATGGCAGGAGGATGGGGGAGAAGGGCAAGGCCTGACAGAGCCATTTCTGCGATGCCCCAGCTGGCCAGAGTCCCTTCACCCACATAGTGGAAGGAGAAAAAACTGACTCCCTAAAGTTGTCCTCTGATCTCCACAAACGGTGCTGTATTACGAATCCATACACACATATCATGCGCATACACAAAGAATACATGGAACATATATATCTTGTGTGTACATCTGTAGAGACGTCGCTTAAAATTCAAAGTTAGCAAGGAAACATGTATATAGGAATGGATCTGAGACGGGAACGCCCGCTACGATTTCCAGCTTCCTGTGTCTCAGAACAAAGAATAGTCCTAGGGACACGTGGTTAGATGTAGAAATAGAGTGTTTATTAAGGAAAGGAAAGACACTCTTGACATGGAGAGGGCGGTAAACTGGGGACAGATAGAAGCTCAAAAGTGCTGGGCCTGAAGGTTTCTGACTCCTTATGGGTCATTTATATACACCCACTCCAGCCTTTATTCATTTCAGGCTTTTTGGGTCACAATGTGTTTCATGCTTGTGACCAGGTAGAGAAGGATTTCCAGGCTTTTGTATCAGCTGGTCTCTTTCATATGGTGTGCATGCGTGCATGCGTGCGTGCGTGCGTGCGTGCGTGCGTGCGTGCGTGTGTGTGTGTGTGTGTGTGTGTGTGTCCCTGAACATGTGTGTGCAGGTAGAGGTCATGTCCCTGAGCATGTGTGTGCAGGTAGAGGTCAGGGGCAGCCTCGGGCTTTTTCACTCTTCCTTCTTAAGCCACTATAGCCGTACCTGCTGGCTTCTGCTGCGTGTTTAAAGGTGACAATAAAGAAATAGGCTGGTTCCCAATGCAAGGAGGCGTGGAGGTGCCTTAGAGGGTAACCAAAGCTGCTCTGTGTTTGCATGTAGTCAGCACACTGTGCATCTGGAGCATCTGAGTGGCTAGGGATGTCAGTTCAAGTCTGTGGTGGCTGCCCAGCTCTCACCCACCCCAGCCTCTGCTGGAGGATTCTGTTGTTTGCTTTGCAGGTTACCTTTGCGCCTTGAAGAAATAAGGCTCCCCTGAACTGTTCCCTCCTTGTGAAATGTGGCCTCATGGCTGCCATCTCCACCGATTCCCTAGTTGGTCAGAGTTTGTTAGCACTCTGCCCTTCCTGCCTACTGATCACCCGAATGATTGGTGCATTTTTTTTTTTTTTTGAGACAGGATTTCTCTGTGTAGTTTTGGAGCCTGTCCTGGAACTCACTCTGTAGCCCAGGCTAGCCTCGAACTCACAGAGATCTGCCTGCCTCTGCCTCCCGAGTGCTGGGATTAAAGGCATGTGCCACCACCGCCTGGCCATTTTTTTGAGACTGGATCACACTATGCAGCCCTTACTGGCCTGCAACTCCGTCATGTAAACCACGCTGGCCTTGAAATCACAGATCCACTTGTCTCAGCCTCCTGAGTGAAAGACCCTAGCCCTTCAGGTTTACACCCCCAAGCCTCAGGAAAAGAGAAACTTCAAGCACCAGGAAATGAGAAACTAAAAATCTAGTTCCAAGAGCAACCTGACTCAGCCATTGTTCAATCTCCCTGCAACCATATAACAATGTAAAAAGATTTCTGTTAAGAGATGTGCTCAACTGTGACTGGGATAGTTTCTGGTGTTCCAGGAAGGACCACTGTGACCTGTGTGTAAACTCCACTCCCACCTTGATACCCACCCCCCTTGAGGTTTCAGGAAGAATGTACCTGTTGACGTAACTGTACCCCCTCTGTGATCACTCTGTGATCAGACCATGATCTTGTGAAATGAAATTGTATGGGAATTGTAATCTTATGGCTTTTGTGGGGTTTTCCTTTAAAAACCCCCATGTGGCTGGAGTAAGATGCGGCTCTTGCTCTTAGGAGCAGAGTTTGCCCTTCTATATAGAAGCTTAATAAATCCTCCTGCTATTGCATCAACTGGACTGGAGTCTGGGTTCTTGGGGTGCCCACTTGAGACCCTAAATTTTGGGGTCCAACACTGAGTACTGAGATCAAAGGTGTGCACAGGATTTAAATGCAGGATTTAATTTTTACTGGTTATCATTTTTATCACATCTAGGGTTTTAATTAATTAATTAATTTATTTATTTATTTTTATGTGCATTGGTGTTTTGCCATGGGTGTCGGGTCCCCTGGAACTGAAATTACGGACAGTTGTGAGTTGCCATGTGGGTGCTGGGAATTGAACCTGGGTCCTCTGGAAGAGCAGTCAGTGCTCTTAACCACTGAGCCATCTCTCCAGGCCCCGGTTATCTTTTTTTTTTTTTGAAGTTTTAGGTTCACAGCAAAAGCCACAGGGAGTCCTCTATGCTCCTTCCCCACTGTCACACCTCTGCCAGAGTGGGAAAGCTGCACAGGAGCAGCCCACACAGTCAACTCACGGTCACCCTGGTACACAGCACTCTTGGTGGGGTAATCTAGTTTCCTGTGAAAGATGGGAGTGGGGGAGGGGACAGTGTTTCAGGGATGGGAAATGGGGACAAAATGAGAAAGGAAGAGAGTAAACTTGAATTTGGATCCAGCAGAGACGTGTTGTGGCTGAGAGCTGAGGGTGTGTCTGGACATTGGGATGAATCAGGTTCACGGCTGCTCATGGAAGATCACCAACAGGAAGCTGCTAAGTCATAGCTAGAAGGTCTATACAGGGGTGTGCAGGCAGGTGGAGGGGCAGGGAAACAAAGTCAGGAGAGAGGAGAAGGAGAGTGGTGGCGTTAGGAGGCTGATAGACTAAGGGGTGTCACTACTCGGGCTGGCTGATGGCAGCAAGAATGTCTAGGAATCTTCGTGATGCCTCAGGATTCCTGGTCTTGCCAAAATGTGCAGTCTCCCATGGCAGGCCGGGCACTGATGGCTGCTTCCCCGAGCCCAGGAGAAGGACATCATGAAGAACAGAATGGGGGACCGGGGGCGGGGAGGGGAGGAGTGCCCAAGAGGAACATCCTAGTCTCAGGAACTGGGCTTGCTGTTAGAATTCCCCAAGACTTAGTGTTTTCCCTTCTCCTTCTCCTCCCTCCTCCTCCTGCTCTTTCTCTTCCTCCTCCTGCTCCTCCTCTTGTTCCTTCTCCTGTTCCTCCTCCTTTTTCTTCTTCTTCCTCCTCATCTTCCTTTTCTGTTTTTCTTTCTTTTTTAAAAAAATTTATTTATTTATTATGTATAGTATACAATATTCTGTCTGCATGTATGTCTGCAGGCCAGAAGAGGGCACCAGCTCTCATTACAGATGGTTGTGAGCCACCATGTGGTTGCTGGGAATTGAACTCATGACCTCTGCAAGAGCAGTCAGTGCTCTTAACCTCTGAGCCATCTCTCCATCTCTCCATCTCTCTTTATTGAGACAAGATATCTCTACATAGTCCTGGATATTCTGGAACTCACTAAGTAGACCAGGCTTGACTTGAGCTCAGAGATCCATTGTACCAGGCTTTCTTTTGGGCCACCAACCAGTTCAATACATGGAGATGTATTAGTTATGAATGCTAGGCCTTAGCTTAGGCTCGTTTCTCGCTGGCTCTTATAACTTAACCTGTTTCTATTCATCTGTCTGCCTTGGGGATGTTTACCTTCCTTTCCTTCTGCATATCTTACTTTCACCACTTCTACATGTCTGGCTGGTGGCTGCCTGGCTTCGGGCTCCAGGTGTGTCCTCCTCTTTCTCCCTCATTCTATTCTCCTCTCCTCTCCTCTCCTCTTCTCTATTGAGCCTAGATTCCTCCTCCTATTTATTCTCTCTGCCCAACAGCCATGCCTGTCCCTCTCTTGCCTAGCTATTGGCTGTTCAGCTTTTTATTAGACCAATCAGGTGCCTTAGGCAGGCAAGGTGAAACAAATACAACACATCTTTACATGATTAAACAAATGCAGCACAAACAAATGTAACAGTTCTTACATTATGAAACAATGCAGCAGAAACAAATGTAATACACCTTTACATAGTTAAAGTAATATTCCACAGCGTAAACACATGTAACAGATCTCTACATAGTTAAGTATTCCACAACAATCCATCTGATTCTCTCTCTCAAGCGCTGGAATTAAAAGTTGTCTGCCATGTCTGCCATCATGCCTGGCTAATGGTTTCTTTT